GGGAAAGAGGTGAGAACAGAAGAGGTAATAAATGAGGAAGGAAAAAAAAAATCTCTGCTTCTAAAGGGATATTCCTGCCCAAAATGATTTGCCAGTTTAGTTCTTCAAAAAAAAAAAACAAAAAAACAACATTTCACATTTGAGTATAAAAAAAGCCACAGAACAACAAGTTTATCATTGGGCAGGCTGAGGGAATAAAGATTGGAGAGAGGAGAGTAAACAACTGAATTCTAAACTTGGTGGGGAGCGGGGACACACCATGTCTCATTGAATTCCTTATTTAAATAGAAGTGTCACGTACTTTCTCTCTTCTTTTTCTCTATTCATGTTTGATTGTAGTTGCCGTAATTTCTTCTCCATCTCCTTGTTTTCTAGTTCTAACTGTACTTTCTCCAACTGCAACTCTCTGACATTTCTGGAGTAAAATATGTATTAGAAGTTACATGAAAGAAAATAAGATACCTGAAAAGGTATAAAGCAGCAACACAAAAAACATTGAGAAATCTGTCAGGAAAGGCAGGTCACCCTTCTATCTCTCAGCAGGACTGAAATACACGCTCCAAAAATGGAGGGCAGGTGAGGTGCCTCTGTGCACCAAAGAAAAAAAAATGCTGAACCAGTAAGTACTCAGAGGATTTGGAAACTCTGCTCCAGTCTTTCTAGTAAAGATAAAATATATGAGAGGCCTGAGGAAGGTCATCTGTCTGCTGCAGAAAGACAAAAGGCCCTTCAAGACAGGCTCTGGCGAAAGAAGAACTTGCTCCTGTTCTGACTGGGACCTCTACAGCTCAGCTGCCTGCCAACTTGCATGCCCTCATGATATAGCCATAAGGACAAAAAGATTATATAGCAAAACACAGGCTACTATAAAGATATCTTGGATTTATGGTTTGTTTGGGATTTTTTTTTTTTGGATAGCAATATGGCTCTTCCAATATAAGCTTTAGAGTGGCCAAAGGAAAACTGATTTGTTGGTTAACTACATTAAAATAAACTATGAAACAGCTTAGTATTTTTGTTTTGCAAGGTATAATTAGATATACAGAGTCATAAAACCTGTAACTTACCTCAGAAAGTAGATTAAAGCCTAAGAAAGGCTTAAGGATAAAAGCTTAGAGAAAATACTAGAAAAGAAACGTATTATGATTATTCTTGCTCTTATGCAAGTAAGTTCTTCTACTTAATGTTGCATTACAGCTTATTAAAAATGTTGAAACAATATCTCTATCATAGTCAGAGAAAATGCACTTACTTAGCTTTTAATTTCACTGAGGTTCCAGTTTTTGAACCTGGGAGTACTACAAAGTCATTGATGTTCATGATGTCTAGAATAATCTCTTCTAAAAAAGAAAATGAGAATAATCTACAGTTAGCAACCTGTTCAAATGGGAATTTGATTGAAATTAAAACAGCAAAAACTCATTACAAAGCCAAAAAAAATTAATGTGTGGAAAGAGAAACGGAAAGCAGAAATTGTTTATATGAAAGAGCAATAAAAATGCTAAAGCAAATTTAAATTAAATACAACTGGGAGGAAAAAAAACACCTTATTACATTGATGACATCAAGGGAAAGATTTAGTTGTCTGTTTCATTTAGGCAATTCCCTCAAGTTCAAGGAAGTTTGCTTATATTAACAAAATGCATCTTTCTTGAACCAGACCCACAGGAAGCACGAAGGATAAAATAATACTCAATAACAAAGGCTATAAAGTCAAAGGAAAACCACTGTGAATGGTTTGGGAAGATAAATATCGTGCATCATACACAAATCCATATAAAACAACGTGATAACTCATATAGCAGACAGACTTATCCCATACTTTAAAAAATCCAGAGACAATTTTAGAAGTATTAGGTATTTTGGAGACAATTTTTTTCCATTCCAGTTGTAAAATACTTTTCCAACAACCAAGTTAACATAGTACAGAGTTCAAACTGAAGCTTATCATCCATATGCTGCGCTAGAATGTTTGCAGTACAACTAGTACAGAGTCAGGAAGGTTGCTAGAAGAAACGTGCCAACACTCAATTTCAAGCATAGTGCCAGAGCTGAGCTTTCATTTGTGCTGCACAGATGCCTTTTGAAAAGAAAAAAGGCATTATAGTCCAGAGACTTACAGCTGACAGGCCGTTTGGAAACTGCTCTTCAACTCTTGGTTACCAGAATCTAGCTGAGAGCAGTACCTAACTGAAATAACGTGGACAAGCTTAGTATGTTTAACACATAAGTGAGCTCAAGAGCAAAAGCTGAACTGTCCAGTCACACATACACTTGAAAATAACAATTAGTACAGTTAATTAGTTACATATCTAAACAATACCTTCATCCATGAAACAAAACGTGTCAATAATATATTACAAACTCATTTAAAACTTCTACTGTGGCAGAAAAACCTAAAAGAAGTGACATTTCAGTGCTCAGAAGTGTAGCACGCGTGCACAAAACATTCCTATTGTGGCTGGAAAAAATAAACACTCTATGCCTTATCATTTCAAAACAATTATTTCTTTATCAGATTCGAAGATGTCACAAGATTCTATTATCTCAGAACAGACAAAGATTCTTCTGTTGGGGATTGTGTTTGTGCTAGCACGACTAGAGCATCTAGGCAGAGAAGGATAACACTGGTTTTGATTCAACCTGAAGACTGGTGAAAAGTAAAAACTGACATAAATGACTGAGGCCAACTTACAATGCTCCAAGAGGGAAAAATATATATGTAATTTTAAAAAAAGGTGTTTTTTTTTTTTAAATCAAAATGAGATAAAACTTTAACTTAAATTACTTCTTTAAATGTTTGCTTACAATGGAATGTATTAGTTTTAGAAGGTTGCGTTCACTGAGATAAAACCATCCACAAAGTGGAAGCAGAATATAACAATATTGGGTAAAAAAAAAATCCTTTATTAAAACCAAAATTGAATTCCTGGACTAAACTAAGCTTACTATACAAATTAGGTTTACAGACTGAATCAAATGAACACATTTTGAAGGCACTAAAGTTTGATTTTCCAGCATAAATAGAAGATGAAGTGCATATTTTTTCCTTTTCTCATATAGGTCTGTATCAGTTTCATAACCGTTATGTTATAGAGCAATTAATCAATACAGAATTTTATTCAAAATCTGTTATCAGTTCATTGAATGCAATTAGGAAAGTTTATTCTCAATTAGATTGTTTATCAAGTCGTACATTATCAGCCATTTCCTTATATTAGAAAGACAAAGAGATTATATATGTGAATCATACCACTTTTATTATTTTCTTTTATGAACGTCACTAACGAACTACTCATCACTGTACGTACACAGATCTTTTTATCCCCATGCAATTAATTACACAAGGCAGAAACAGAGTTCTTAGCAATGGGACTACTTCCAACAGTAATTTACACAGAGTTTCCAAACTATTTTCCTTAACTTTCAGAGGTGACTTTTAGACAAGACAACTGCAGGTCTCCATCAGACTATGTTAAATGGCTGTTTCGTACACGGTGAGAAGCATTAAGTTATTTAAATAGGTTATAGGTGATCAAAAGTTTAAATTGTTCTGAGAAAATATATGAATTTGTTTTTTTAAGAACCAAATATAGTCAATTGTAATGGCAAGCATTAACTCCTTTTTATAAGAACAGCTGTTAAGCAAACATCAACTATGAGACTGTTATATTCAAAGTTAAGTGTACACAACTTGGGAAAATACACACCCTTGGCTTGCAAAGCTTGTAAGCAGCTTGTAAGCTTGAGCAATCATGAGAAAGACTGTCAAAGACTGCTGAAAAAACCTGCCAAAAATAAGTATTAACACGGCAAACCCAGCCTCTGATTTCCCAAAAACAAATTCAATACCTGTAAGCAGGGTTGTTTATTTAAATACAGATAGGAGTTCCCTTTCTATGGGCACTTGTTGTTTATCTGTGAATCGGATCCCTTTTTTCTTTCTATGCTACATGACGCTATTCCAGTGAGGCAGAGAGCAAAGCAACTTCATCGACACTAAATACATAAACAAACAAATCAAGCATTAATTATCCACATCATTTCCACCTGCCATTTTGTGCCCAACTTCATCATTGTAGCAGATTCCGCTGTGCTGCTGGTGCATATATAGGGCAAATGAACAAAAATAGAACTGGTGTTTCCGTTAATTGAAATGTAAGTCAATATAAGTTTTAAGTCAGTACAGCTAAATGACCACAACACAGAATGGTTTAGGCTGGGAAGGACCTCTGGAGATCATCTAGTCCAACCTCCCTGCTCAAGCAGGGTCCTCTAGAGCATATTTCCCAGGAGCAGGGTCCTCTGGACGGTCCATCTACCCTCTACCTCAGGTTAGCTCACATTTGTTCCTAGTCAATTTAAAGATAGCCTTATAACGTAAGGACAACTAGAGACAGCTGTAGTTTATTTTAACTCCTGAAGTTTGAAATAAAGCAGGCTAAATTCCTACACCTTTCTCACATCAATAAACCCATAAAAACCAAAGGGAAACGATAGCACATGTAATAACTTGCACCCAATTATTATAATCATGAACACAGATTTTATGCTAGACTGAGTCCCTAGCCACTTAGCATAACTTCAAACCCAACTACTCTTCATTTACTTTAAAGAATTGTTAGCGTAATTAAGAATGTCCCTAGCACTGCTCTTCAAAACAGCCTTTTCCCGTTAGTTATTATTACTGTATCAACTGAGACTTTTGGCTCTCCCATAATGCTTTTTATTACTTCACTAATTAGTTTAAGTAAAATTAAAAAAAAAAAGTAAACCTTTTGATTATCTTGTAAATCCAACAGTCAGGTATAGCAATGTAATCTTAGTCTCTCATGGCCAGCTCATACTCCCTAGGCCATAACATCAATGATGCCACTTGCTTCAAATTTCACTTTTTTTTTTTTCAAATACAAGTTATCACTTTAACTGTTTGACACTAAAATATACACAAAATAAGGTCATGACAACATGTACTAAAACATCTAAACAATATTTTCCCTAAGTTATTTCCCCATACTCAGCAAGTCTGCCACACATTTGAAGGACGTGTTGTCACACTGATTCTGACAAGTCAGCACCTATTTTTGTCAGTTGCGTATGTTTACTGTTTAACCGAATCCTATGATTTCAGCTGCGTTTTAAGGAGTAACTTCAAATAATAAAGACGCTGACAGAATGGTCTCTCTCCACGCAGTCACAAGTTACCAAGTAGCTTGTATGAGGTACGTGCCTGAGCTTTAGCGTTACTTAGCTACAGCATTTCCCCTGCAAACTCCCGCAAGAGTAAGCTCTGCAAGTGAAGGAGGAAGCAGCAGGGGGAAAAAAAGTGATCAATAAAAGAACAAAGTCGGTACTTGCCATCAGCGCTTGTATTGAACTCTGGTCTCACCTAAGCAAGGCTTATAGACTTCAATCAGTCCAAATGACAACTGTAGAAAGATACAAGACCATAAGGGAAGACAAAAGATGTATTTTAATAAAAGAAAAAAAAAAAGGAAAAAAAATACTATCAACATAGTGGATGCTCTTTCCCCCCCCCCTTTTTTTTTTTAAATTATAGGTGGCTCTGCTTTCAAGAAGACCAACGAGAGGTAGGAAAGCCAAGGAAAGAAGGAGGAAACGGTCTAGAACGGTAGCCTAAAATCAGACAGGGGAGAGGGGGAAAAAAAGCGTAGAGGAAGAACACAAAGGCAAACTGTTCGGTGCACTGCAAGGGGGGCCCCCCGGGGGCCCCCCACCTCCCGCCTCTCCCTGAGGCAGCCGCCGG